ACAGTAATAAAGGCCCTCCCAACAAAGAAAAGCCCAGGACCAGATGGATTCACTGCTGAATTCTACCAGACATTTAAAGAAGAACTAACTCCAATTCTTCTCAAACTATTCAGAACAATCGAAGAAGAGGGAATCCTCCCAAATTCTTTCTATGAAGCCAGCATCACCTTAATTCCTAAGCTGGGAAAAGATGCAGCACTGAAAGAGAATTACAGACCAATATCCCTGATGAACATAGATGCAAAAATCCTCAATAAAATTCTCGCCAATAGAATGCAACAACACATCAGAAAGATCATCCACTCAGACCAAGTGGGATTTTTCCCTGGTATGCAGGGATGGTTTAATGTGCGCAAGACAATCAATGTGATACACCACATTAACAGACTGCAGAGGAAAAACCACATGATTATCTCAATAGATGCCGAGAAAGCATTTGATAAAATACAACACCCGTTCATGATGAAAACTCTAAGCAAACTGGGTTTGGAAGGAACATTCCTCAATACAATCAAAGCAATCTATGAAAAACCCACAGCCAACATCCTATTGAATGGGGAAAAGTTGGAAGCATTTCCACTGAGATCTGGTACCAGACAGGGATGTCCACTCTCACCACTGCTATTCAATATAGTTCTGGAGGTTCTAGCCAGAGCTATTAGGCAAGAAAAAGAAATTAAAGGGATACAAATTGGGAAGGAAGAACTCAAACTATCCCTCTTTGCAGATGACATGATTCTTTATTTAGGGGACCCAAAGAACCCTACTAAGAGACTATTGGAACTCATAGAAGAGTTTGGCAAAGTAGCAGGATATAAAATCAATGCACAAAAATCAACAGCCTTTGTATACACAGACAATGCCATGGCTGAGGAAGAACTTCTAAGATCAATCCCATTCACAATAGCTACAAAAACAATCAAATACCTTGGAATAAACTTAACCAAGGACGTTAAAGAACTCTACGATGAAAATTACAAAACCTTAAAGAAAGAAATAGAAGAGAATGCCAAGAAATGGAAAAATCTTCCATGCTCATGGATTGGAAGAATCAACGTCATCAAAATGTCCATTCTCCCAAAAGCAATTTATAGATTCAATGCAATACCAATCAAGATACCGAAGACCTTCTTCTCAGATCTGGAAAAATTGGTGCTGAAATTCATATGGAGGCACAAGAGACCTCGAATAGCTAAAGCAATCTTGTACAACAAAAACAAAGCCGGAGGCATCACAATACCAGATTTCAGGACATACTACAGGGCAGTTGTAATCAAAACAGCATGGTACTGGTACAGAAACAGATGGATAGACCAATGGAACAGAATTGAAACACCAGAAATCAACCCAAACATCTACAGCCAACTTATATTTGATTAAGGATCTAAAACGAATTCCTGGAGCAAGGACAGTCTATTCAATAAATGGTGCTGGGAAAACTGGATTTCCATGTGCAGAAGCATGAAGCAAGACTCCTACCTTACACCGTACACAAAAATCCACTCAACATGGATTAAAGACCTAAATCTACGACCTGACACCATCAAGTTACTAGAGAACATTGGAGAAACCCTTCAAGATATTGGCACAGGCAAAGAGTTTCTGGAAAAGACCCGGGAGGCACAGGCAGTCAAAGCCAAAATTAACTATTGGGATTGCATCAAATTGAGAAGTTTCTGTACTGTAAAAGAAACAGTCAGGAGAGTGAAGAGACAACCGACAGAATGGGAAAAAATATTTGCAAACTATGCAACAGATAAAGGGTTAATAACCAGAATCTACAAAGAGATCAAGAAACTCCACAAAAACAAAACCAACAACCCACTTAAGAGATGGGCCAAGGACCTCAATAGACATTTTTCAAAAGAGGAAATCCAAATGGCCAACAGACACATGAAAAAATGTTCAAGGTCATTAGTAATCAGGGAAATGCAAATCAAAACCACAATGAGGTTTCACCTCACCCCGGTTAGAATGGCTCACATGCAGAAATCTACCAACAACAGATGCTGGCGAGGATGTTTGGAAAAAGGGACACTAACCCACTGTTGGTGGGAATGCAAACTGGTCAAGCCACTATGGAAGTCAGTCTGGAGATTCCTCAGAAACCTGAAGATAACCCTACCGTTCGACACAGCCATCCCACTCCTTGGAATTTACCCAAAGGAATTTAAATTGGCAAACAAAAAAGCGGTCTGCAGCCTAATGTTTATTGCAGCTCAATTCACAATAGCTAAGACCTGGAACCAACCTAAATGCCCATCAACTGTAGACTGGATAAAGAAATTATGGGATATGTATTCTTTAGAATACTATACCGCAGTAAGAAACAACGAAATCCAGTCATTTGCAACAAAATGGAGGAATCTGGACACATCATGCTGAGTGAAATAAGCCAGTCCCAAAGGGACAAATACCATATGTTCTCCCTGATCGGTGACAATTGACTGAACACCAAAAAGGAAAGCTGTTGAAGTGAAATGGACACTATGGGAAACGGTGACTTGATCAGCATAGCCCTGACTGTTAATGAACAACTTAATATATTATCCCTCTTAGTATTTTTTTTTGTCTGTTCTACTTAATATGACTGGTGTAATTCTGTAATTAATACACAGTTATTCTTAAGTGTTAAAAATTAACTGAAATGTGATCCCTGTTAAACATAAGAGTGGGAATAAGAGAGGGAAGAGATGTACAATTTGGGACATGCTCAAGCTGACTTGCCCCAAGTGGTGGAGTTGGAAGCATACCAGGGGATTCCAATTCAATCCCATCGAAGTGGCATGTACCAATGCCATCTCACTGTTCCAGGTGATCAGTTTCAGTTCACAGTTGGTCATGGTGAAGGGACTGGGAGTCAAAGGGAGCACATAGACAAGTCTAGTACCTGCTAACGCTAACTGATGGAGTAAATAAAGGGGAGAGTGATCCAACATGGGAAGTGAGATACTCAGCAGACTCATAGAATGGCAGATGTCCTAAATAGCACTCTGGCCTCAGAATCAGCCCTAAAGGTACTCGGATCTGGCTGAAAAGCTCATGAGAGTATTTCAGGCATGGAAAGCCAAGACACTCTGGCAAAAGATCTCTGCGAGTGAGATCCCAGTGGAAAGAACAGGCCATCAAAGAAGGAGGTACCTTTCTCTGAAGGGAGGAGAGAACCTCCACTTTGACTATGACCTTGTCTAAACAAGATAAGAGTCGGAGAACTCAGAGGGCTTCCATAGCCTTGGAAACTCATGACTGGAGCATAGGGAGATTACTGATGCCATAGACAGGAGTGTCAATTGGTAAAGTCAACAACAGGAGTCACTGTGCGCTTACTCCTCATGTAGGATCTCTATCCTTAATGTGCTGTACATTGAGATTTAATGCTATAACGAGTACTCAAACAATATATTTCACTTTGTGTTTCTATGGGGGTGCAAACTGTTGAAATCCTTACTTAATGCATACTAAACTGATCCTCTGTAAAAAAAAAAAAAAAGAAAGAAATTATCAATTCCCAACTTGACTCCCACTGGGATTAAACATGACAATAGGTCTGCTCTGATTTCATCATCATTTAAAAAAATCATCTATTATTTTTCACTTTATGTTTCTGTGTGGGAGCAAACTGTTGAAATCCATACTTAATGTATACTAAGTTGATCTTCTGTATATTAAGATAATCGAAAATGAATCTTGATGTGAATGGAAGGGGAGAGGGAGTGGGAAAGGGGAGGGTTGTGGGTGGGAGGGACGGTATGGGGGGAAAGCCATTGTAATCCATAAGTCGTACTTTGGAAATTTATATGCATTAAATTAAAGTTTAAAAAAAAATGTTAAATAATGAATAGACCTTACCTTGGCTCACAATAGCTGGCCATACTCAGTAACATGGGTCCTATAATCTCATCAGTAGCATCTGCAGCATTACTATTGTTTATAGTTATTCAAAAATCAAGGCAGAGGTTGTTTTATATAGAATGAAAAAACCCTGAGACGCGGCAAACATTTTGTGTGGGTGAGACTCATTTTTGAGTTGGATATCATTGTAGCTTCCCGTGCCTTGGACAATGGTATACACTGACAAACTTTCTATCTCCATAATGAGAGAATTGTGTATTTTGTATTTTTAAAAAATATTTATTTATTTCAGAGGCGGAGTTACCGACAGAGAGGGAGTGACAGAGAAAGGTCTACCATCTGCTGGTGCACTGTCACAATGGCTAGAGCTGGGCCAATCCAAAAATCCAGGAGCCTCCCATATGGACACAGGGTCCCAAGTGCTTGGGTCACCTTCTATGCCTTCCCAGGCCAGAACAGCGAGCTGAATCAGAAGAGGATCAGCTGAGACTTGAACCAGTGCCCAAATGGGATGTTCGCACCACAGGCAGAGGCTTAGTCTACTCTGTCACAGTGCCAGCACCAAATTCTGTGTTTTAAAATGTCACAGTGACCAAATATTTTGGTTCTAAACTTCCTTAGATGCTACGCCTGTCATAGATATGTGTGTTCTTCTTCCTGTATCCAGTAGACAATACAAGTACACAGGGGTGCAGAGATCCACACGCATTGTGCCTCTAGTGGGTGAATGATCTGGGATGGAAACATTGATTTCCTCACCCCTTCTCAGAGCACTGTCTCCTTCACTGGAGTCAAATGGAAATATTATTCTGTCTACAAGATGAAACATCTCAGTGAGTAATCATGGGGGGATTATGACTAGATATAACCCAGGGATATATATTCAATGGTATATCTTAATAAGAGGATGTAAGTTGATTACAATTGTTTTATTGGGGCAGCAGATGTAAATGATTAATAGTAAAATTGCCTGTGCACTGAATATTGCAACTCAAACAACTCTATTCCATGCACATATCTTATAGCTATTCTCATTTGTGTGATATGGAGACAAGAATTTTTGAAAGATTGTCAGAATAAATAGACAAATGAAATGATGTTCCTCTCTCAGGTAAGGACAGGAAACAATCAAAGTATATGAAGGAGACATGAGCACTTCACAGAGAGGCTTAAACCCAAGCATCAATGTATACTTGTACATTTCATGGGCAAGAGGTATAGAATTCTACTCAGATGAGCTTCAAGCACTTTGCAGGTAAGTTTTAGAGAAAACTATTTAGGGATGCAGAAATTACTGCTGACTCAGAGGGGCAGGCATTGTGATAAAGTAGGTTAAGCTGCTTCATCCATATTACATTGCCCGGTTCCAGACTTGGCTTACTCTTCTTCCAATTCAGCCTCTTGCTAATATGCCTGGGAGGCAGCAGATGATGGTCCAAGTACTTTGGTTCCTGCTACTTGTGTGGGAGACATGGATGGGGTTCCTTATTCCTGGCTTTGGCCTGGCACAGCCCCAGCTGTTGTAGGGATTCGGGGAATGAACCAGAGGATGGAAGATCAGTCTCTCTATCATTTTTTCTCCAGATCTCTCTGCCTTTCAAATAAAATAACAGAAATTTAATAACATATTTTAAAACTTTTTCTTACAACAGCTCTACAAGGGAGATAATTATTATTGCTATTTTACAGAGGTGGTAACTATTGAGTATCTTTACATTATTTTCTGGAATTCTGTTTCACATTTTTTCACCATTCAATGACAGTATAACCTAGCAAAATAATAAACTAACATTGCCTTTAGGCAGCTGAAGTTAGAAAAATTCATGTACCAGGAAGTGGTGACATAAAAATCCTTGAATTATGCATAGGAAGTCTGGGACTCAGAGCTGTCTTTGGAGCTTTCCTGATATCACTCACCTCAAATGGTTTATGATCAGAAAAACAACCAAGCAGTATTGCCAGGCCATTAAGTGACACATAAGAAAAAATTTAAAAATGTTCAAAGTAAAAAGCTCTCATATATCAGGCATTTATTAAGATTCTCAGGGGACCATACAAAGAAACCTGTAGAAAATTTTAAAAATTCAAATAGTTCTTAATAGTTCACTGTTTCTAATCATTGACAGGTCCAGAATACACTATTGTTCCAATGGTGGTCATTGATTTCACATGACTATGTGTATTAGACAATGACTTTTATGAAAATTTGAAGTCCACCAAAGCTAAGGACTGGAGTTATATATTAAATGGCACTAAGAGGCAAAAAGGAGTGAGTGTAAATAGCATAGTGGTTAAGGTGCCAGCTCCCACACAGTACTTAGGGTTGATTACTGGCCCTGGTTCCTGACTCTTGCTTCCTGTGAATACAGATCCTGGCAGGCAGTGGTCAGATGGTTGAGTCTCTACCCAGGGGAGACCTGGATTGAGATAGGAATAAGAACTCACAATTTCTACCTTGTTCCAGCCACAGCCATCACAGGCATCTGTGGAGTGAAGCAGTGGATGAGAGTATTCTTTCTCTCTAAGCAAATGAGCTAAACAATATTAGAGTGAGCACATACATCCATGAAGGAGGGGAGTCAGAAAAGCCAGGAATGGGTAGATCCCTGGAAGACAACAGACACACAACAGTATTTCCTGGTTGTGAACAATCAATGTTAGTTTGGGGTTCAGACAATACATTTGTAGCTTTATAGATGACTTATAAAAATTGTGACTGAAAGGAATTTGTTCCATTGTCTTAAAATAAAAAAGGCATATTTAACTGTTTTTAAATTTCCTTTAATTAGACTGTTTCTCATAAATACTAGATTGCATTAGACTCTGAACATAGACTTGTTAGTTCTAATGTTCTTGGCTTTCTAAAATTTGTGAGACTCTTTAAGGCTTTTACATAGAGAGAGGTAGCTCAGACACCAATCAAAAGATCTCTCACAAGACTGAGTTTGTCACCATTGAGAAAGATGACAGAATTTGGTTACCGAGTGTGAATATGAAAGTGGAGTTCCAGAAGCTACTGGAAAATTTGTATCATGCAAAAAATGCATGAATTTCACAACTGTATTACAACAAGAAAACCCTTTTCTTTGAATTCAACTTATTCTGTGAACACTAGCGTTACCCTCATGCTATACCCATACAAACTTGACTTGAAGACATAGAGAGTGCTGGGTGCCTGTTTATCTGTTTCCTTTTACCAATCCTACTTTCCTTTCCAAAAGGAGTCCAGGTTGTTTTGAAACACAAAATCTCACACAGGTCTCAGAATTTCATCTCATGGGCTTTTCAGAAGATCCAGCCTTGCAGCTTCTCCTCTTTGTGCTGTTCCTGTCCATGTACTTGATCACGCTGCTTGGGAACCTGCTCATCGCCCTGGCCATCAGCTCAGACTCCCGCCTCCAGACCCCCATGTATTTCTTCCTCTGCAACCTGTCCTTGGCTGATGTGGGTTTCACTTCCACCACGATTCCCAAGATGATTGTGGACATCCACACTCACAGCACAGCCATCTCCTATGTGGGCTGCCTGACACAGATGTCTCTCTTTATTATCTTTGGGTACATGGATGATTTGCTTCTGACCGTGATGGCCTATGACTGGTTTGGCGACATTTGTCGCCATTTGTCATCCATTGTATTACCAGGTCATCATGAACCCCTGCCGCTGTGGCTTCTTGGTTTCAGTGTCAGTTGTGGCCAGCCTTTTGGAATCCCCGATGCAGATTTTGATGCTATTAAGAGCTACCTGCGTCAAAGATGTTGACATTTCTAATTTCTTCTGTGAACCTTCCCAGCTTCTCACTCTTGCTTTCTCTGACACTTTCACTCATGACATAGCCATATATTTTGTTGGCATCATATATGGTTTTCTCCCTATCTCAGGGATTCTCCACTCTTACTACAAAATCATTTCCTCCATTCTGAGAGTCCCATCAGCTGGTGGGAAGTACAAAGCCTTCTCCACCTGTGGCTCTCACGTGACTGTTGTATGTTTATTTTATGGAACATCCCTTGGGGTGTATCTCACTTCAGCAGCCTCACTTTCTTCCAGGAAGTGTGCAGTGGCCTCAGTGATGTACACTGTGGTCATCCCCATGCTCAACCCCTTTATCTACAGCCTGAGGAACATGGACATCAAGAGGGCCATGTGGAGACTTCTCAGTCAGCAAACTATTTAGAGCACAGATTGGAAGGCAGCAAAACTCAGCATCCAGACCCTAAAATCTCACCTGGCTCATCACATCACACATGAGGCTCTCATGGCTTTCATGCATCTTCTTTTGTAACTGAGATTTCCTGTTTTGCTCTTTCTTTATGGAAACATTATATCTTTACCCTTGCATACCTGACTCATATTGTACCTATGGAGCCTTCTCTAGTTCATTATGGACGATCAAGTTATCCTGGAAAAAGAAAATATACTTTGCCTTTTTGTTATTTAAAATTGATATCTGGGCCGGCCCTGTGGCTCAACAGGCTAATCCTCCACCTTGCGGCGCCGGCACACTGGGTTGTAGTCCCAGTCGGGGCACTGGATTCTGTCCTGGTTGCCCCTCTTCCAGGCCAGCTCTCTGCTGTGGCCAGGGAGTGCAGTGGAGGATGGCCCAGGTGCTTGGGTCCTGCACCCCATGAATGACCAGGAGAAGCACCTGGCTCCTGCCTTTGGACAGTGCGGTGCACCGGCTGCAGCACTCCAACTGCAGTGGCCATTGGAGGGTGAACTAAAGGCAAAAAGGAAGACCTTTATAAAAAAATAAAAAAAAATTGATATCTGTTCCATAATTTGAATGTACTTTCCACTCACATTTGCATTCTTATCCTTGTAACTTATTTGACCTCGTTATCCGTGAGGATGCATATCACTGCTCCTTTTCATGAAACCCTCTAAGGAACTTTAACAATTCTGATGCCTGGATTTCACTACCAGAGGTTCTGATGTCTTGAAGTGATGTGTGGTCTGAGTATGGAAATTTCCAAGCACCCAGGATAAGCTGAAAAATTTGCTGACAGTTCATTAGTAACTTCATTTTATGTGATGAGTCATGTTTCCCTTGCTATTTCCATGATTTTCTCTTTGATATTTTTACAGTTTAGTTATAAATTGTGTTGAATGTGTTATAATTGGGGTTCATGGAGCTTAAATGTGTATGTCCACTTCTTTCTTCAAATTTGGGAAGTTTCCAATTGCAGTCATTATCTCTTCAAACTGGTGCACTTGCACTCTCTCTCTCCTTTCTGTGGATCTCCCACAATACATATGCTTGTCTGCTTGTGTTATCCCATAAGATCCTTCCAATAAATAAAAGCCCAGGACCAAATGGCTTCACTGCTGAATTCTATCAGATATTTAATGAGGAATTAATCCCAAATCTATTCAAGATATTCAAAGCAGTTGAAAGGGAGGGAATCTTCCCAAACATCTTCTATGAGGCCAACATCACCTTAATTCTTAAACCAGAAAAAGATACAACAAAAAATTATAGATCAATACCCTTGAGGAATGTAGATGCAAAAGTCCTCGACAAAATACTAACTAAATGAATCCAACAACACATCAGAAAGAACATTCACCCAGATCAAGTGGGATTTATCCCTGGTATGCAGGCTGGTTCAATATTCAAAAAGGAATAAATGTGATATATGTCACATTAACAAACTGAAGAACAAAAGCCATACGATGATCTCAATAGATGCAGAGATAGCATTTGATAAAATACAACACCCTTTCATGATGGAAACATTAAGCAACTTGTGTATGGAAGGAACACTCCTCAACAGAATCAAGGCAATATATGACAAATCTACAGCCAGCATCTTATTGAATGGGGAGAAGTTGGAAGCATTCCAACTATGATCTGGAAACAGATAAGGATGCCCATTATCACCACTGCTATTCAATAGTTTCAACCAGAGCCATTAGCCAAGAAAAAGAAATCACAGGGATGCCAATTGGGAAGAAGGAAGTCAAACTATCCCTGCATGCAGATGACATGTTTCTGTATATAGGGGAAGCAAAGACTCACTAAGAGACTATTGGAACTCATAAAAGAGTTTGTAAAGTGGAAGGATACTAAATTAACACACAAAAATGAATAGCCTTTCTATATGAAGACAATGTCATGGCTGAGACAGAACTTCTAAGATCAATCCCATTTAGAATAGGTACAAGAACAATTAAATCCCTTGGAATAAATTTAAACAAAGACGTCAAAGACCTCTATGACAGAAATTACAAAACCTTCAAGAAAGAAATGGAAGAGGAGATAAAAAAAATGTAAAAACCTCCATTTTCATGAATTGGAAGAATCAATATCATCAAAATGTCCATACTACCAAAAGCAACTTACAGATTCAATGAACTACCAATCAAAATACCAAGGACATTCTTTTCAGAACTAGAAAAAATGATGCTAACATTCATATGGAAACAAAAGAAACCCTGAATAGCTAAAGCAATTTTATAAGACAAACACAAATTGAAAGCATCATAATACCAGATTTCAAGACACACTACAGAGTAGTTATTATCAAAACTACCTGGTACTGGAAAAAAAAAAGATGTGTATACCAATGGAACAGAATAGACACTCAAGACATCATCCATGCATCTACAAGCAATATTTTTGATGAAGGAACTAAAATCAATCTCTTGAGCAAGGACAGTCTCTTGAACAATGGTCCTGGGGAAACTGGATTTTCACACTCAGAATTATGAAACTAGACCCTTACACAAAAACTAGACACTTACTCAAAAATAGATCCACTCAAAATAGATCAAACACAAAAATCTATGACCTGATACCATGAAATTACTAGAGATCACTGGCAAAACTCTGTGTGACATTGGCATAGGCAAAGACTTCTTGGAAAAGACACAAGAAACACAGGGAATCACAGCAAAAATAGGCTAATTCTCCTCTGCCAAAGAAACACTATTGACATGAAGAGGCAATTGACAGAATGGGAGACATTCTTTGCAAACTATGCAACAGATAAAAGATTAATATCCAGAATTTTGAAGAACTCAAGAAACTCAATCACAACAAAATAAACAATCCAGCTAAGAAATGGGCAGAGGACTTAGACTGGCATTTTTCTTTTTTTTTCAAGATATTTTATTTATTCATTTGACAGGTAGAGTTACAAACAGTGAGAGGGAGAGACACAGAGAAAGGTCTTCCATCCATTGGTTCAGTACCCAAATGGCCACAATGGCCAGAGCTGTCCGATCCAAAGCCAGAAGTCAGGAGCTTCTTCCAAGTCTCCCATGTGGGTGCAGGGGCCCAAGGACTAGGGCCATCTTCTACTACTTTCCCAGGCCATAACAGGGGGCTGGCTTGGAAGAGGAGCAGCCGAGACTATAACCAGAACCCATTTGGGATGCTGGTGCCGCAAGCAGAGGGTTAACCTACTGTGCCATGGCGCTGGGCCCTACACTGTCATTTTTCAAAAGAGGAAATTCAAATGGCCAACAGACACTTGAAAAAATGCTCAGGATCACTAGCCATGAGGGAAATACAAATCACAACCACAATGAGGTTCTATCTCCTACCCCAGTTAGAACGGCTTTCATACAAAAATCAACAAACAACAAATGCTGGTGAGGATATGGACAAAAGGCATCCTTGTCCACTGTTGGTGGGAATATATACTGGTATAGCCACTGTGGAAGACAGTATAGAGATACCTCAGAAATCTCAATATAGACCTACCATATGATCTAGCCATTCCACTCTTGGGAATTTAAACAAACCAAAAGAAATCAGCATATGAAAGAATTATCTGTACTTCATGGGTACAGATAATAATAGGAATAAATACACGAGGCAGACAAAACCTGCCTTTCTGAATGCTCTCCTACAGGACAATTTGGCTGAGAGCATGATGGCTTGCTAGGTTGTCTGATATGCTGGAGAGAGAGATTAGTCAGTCTGTGGTGCTCATAGACCACCACCAAAAGCACTGTACATCTCAGAGTGCTCAAGAGCACACAGGAGGACAGATCAGCCTGTGTCTTCAGCCTTACAGAATGCTGGTCCCAAGGGCAGGCATTTGGCCGAGCAGTTGGGATTCCCCTTGGGATGCCCACATCCCATACTGAAGAACCTGAGTTTGACTCTTGGCTCCTCTGTCAGTTCCCTCTTCCCATTAAAGTGCTTGTAGAGAGGCAGCAGATCTTGGCTCAAGCAATTTCATTCCTGCCTCCTGTGTGGGAGACTCGGGTTGAGTTCTTAGCTCCTGGCTTTTGCCTGGCCAAGTTCTGTGGGTATTTGGGGAGTGACCTGGTGAATAGAAGAACTCTCTCTTTGTTGGCCTTTGTCCTTCTACATTTAAATACAAGTGAAGAGTTAATTTTTAAAAAGTCTGATACTAATGCAGTAAAAATTGTGCTTGTGTCAATTACTCCAAGAGTCATCCACATTAGGAGGCCCAGGGCTGTCTGTCTTCCCAACAGTCCTAAGGAGAGAGCCTCAGCTCTTATTGCTTACTGGGAATGATGGGGCAGTGGGACCTCATTCCCCAGTCATGCCCCACAGCAAGAGAGCTCAGCCAAGTGTGTTCTATGGGATACAGATGAACTATGCGGCACTGTTGGAAGCATTTTTTCCTCCTATACCAGACCAGTAGGATGGTTGGAATAACTAGACTGACCAGCCCCAAAATGAAAAGTGTCTACCTGAATTTTATAGTCTTGGTTCATTGGAGGCAATTCAAGAAATCTAAGTCAGAAATCTGCTTTGCCTTCACACTACTACTAACTACTATATGACAATACACAAACTGGAGATGCTTTTGTACATATGTAGGATCTTTTATAAGTTCATGAAAATACATATTATCAACTTCTCAGTTAATTACATTTTTCTGCAAACTTTTTGAAGTATGCTTTTTCACCTACTTCTTCTGAAGTATTGAAGTATAAGGACAAAGAAATATGTAACTATCAATAGTTTTATAATCTATGAGTATAATTCAGTAAGAATCTCAAACTGGAGATGAAGACTCATTCAAATTAGTAAAAAGCACATCAGTTCCCATGACATAAAATAGAAACTGAAGCAAAGGCTTAGGAAATGAAATAGGAAGCTCTATTTTGAGACTAATGCTAACTGAGAAAGTGAAAAGAGTATCTGATTATTAGTATACAACATACAATTCTCCTTAGGTTTCATGATGA